CTTTTGTTATTATAGTGTTTCAATAAAAATCCTTGGACATAGGAGAAATTCCCAGCAGTAGCTTGCTTGTTCAAAGAGCTAATGCATTTCCATTTGTGATGGGTATTGCCTAACTGCCCTCCTTGGAGGCTGTACAGGCCACACGTCTGCCAGCACGGTTACCGGGTGCTGCTTCCCACAGCCTCGCAATGTTGTCTCCTGTCTTGATTTCATGGGGCTAGACACTTCCCCTGTCAAGTTACCTTTAGATTTATAACACATTTTAAGTCAAAGCATACTCAGGATCTTATCTCTGACATTACTGTGTTCCCTTTCTCTTCATCCCTACATGAGAGAAAAAAAAATCTATAGAAAGTAACTCCTTTGAAAGGTGTAAAACCTGACATCTGTTTCCAATCCAACTTTCAAGGTTAAAGTGCAACATACTCTGAGGGAGATCGTCTATAGCTGCTGAAGACAACTGTCTACCTGTTCTCAAACTAAGCATAAATTAGAGGAAATTTTAAATCTAAATTCTGCAAACACGAGATCGCCACGTTGCAACTTACAGCAGCAACTTTATCCACTCAGAATTTCCTGATCATCTACCTTGAGCCAGCTGCTAGGAGACTTGTAAGATAGGCTTGGCCTCCGCTTCTGCTGCTTTCTTTTGAAGAGACAGACAGGCCTCTTGGAGGACTGACAGTGATTCAGTGACAAGTGCCATCACGAATTGACAGCAGGGGAAGGAGAGAACATGATCAGGGCTGGAGGTCAATGGTAAATGGGTCTGTATATGTGTCAGGTGATCACAGAGAGCCACTGCTCGTGATCCCAAAGGGACAGTGGACTAGGTAGAGGAACAGTGGGGCCATGGCTGTGTGCAGACATGAGCTTGGCATGTTTGGAGAACTGATGTAAGGCTGACATGGAGAATCCACAGTATTTCCTGTGTTGTCAAATATGCTGCAGACCAGAAATTAAATCCTTTAAATGCTTTATACAACATAGACCTGTGTTATGAAAAGAGGGGAGGCTACTATGATGTGGCATTTTTAAAATGTGGCACTTTCAATCTTTTGCCATGTGCTACAAGAAAAGGGTTGGGGATTCCAAAGATGCAGAACACTTCCTCTTGCAGTATCAGCCACAGGGACAGACAATGGCACCCCACCCCAGTGGGCTCTTCCCATCCTGCTCTGCAGTGAGAAGTTCTCTGACCTTAAGGCCAGTGTGGGCCATGAGTACGTCATACAACACTTCCTTAGAGTGTTCTTCCTCAACACATGTTCACTCCAATGATCTATGTTTCAGAACAAGGGACTCGGGCTCAGACAAACTGTTGAGTTACTGCTATGCCTAGTTTCCTCTTAACCTGATCACTGGTCACCAGAGAGGGCAAGACAAGACTGTCCTGAGGCAGGAGAACTGTGGCACAGGTGACAAGCCACCACTTATGTTCAAAGTGCCCTAGCAGGCAGGTCTGCTCTGGCTCCTGCAGATGTGATTGGGCTGTCAGTGTAACCCTGAAGTCATGGCAATGGCATTCTGTGTGGTAATAAGAGGGCTGCCCGGAGGTCTCAGGAGGTCCTAAGAAGGCTTCCATACCCAGTGGGATAGACTTTGACCTGTACTAGCGCTCTGGTTCCATTGCCAAATTCACCAGACACCAGCTATCCTAAAAATGTATACTATTAGCCAGAACCAGTTAAAACCATAAACTTTTGACTCTACCTAAAGAGCTTGTACTTGTAGTGGGGAGGGCAACTGTAGATACTACAAAGAGTATGGGGGGGCAATACAGAGTGGGTAACAGGAGGTAGGAGGGAGGGGATCAGGGAAAAATTAATAGACACAAAAATTACAGGTTATCTGCTGATATTGTATGTGGTAATGTCTTTGACTTGACTAACATGCACTGTATTCAAGCTGGGCAAAGTCATGTTGTAAACTATAAAAGTGTTCAGTGATTAAATATAAATAAAAAAAGAAAAAAGACCCTGACAAACATGGAATTTGCCCTCTTTGTGAAAAGAAAACACACACCTCATGTGTGACTCAGGCAACTTAACACTCTCTACTTCCCCCTAGGAGCATCAGCTGACCCCAGTCACCCAGGAGACTGGACACAGGCCAAGGACAACAGATCATCCCAAGTGTCTCCCCAGACACCTCATAGTCATCTAGTCTTGTCCTGCTCATAGCAGTTCTGGTTTGATTTAAAGCAGAGCAGTCCCACACACTCCATGAGAAGCATGTGGGAAGGAGCAGGGTCCTGACCCAGAGCGTGGCTAAGAACCCAGGCCATGTGGTGGCCAGCCCTGACACTCTGCCTGCTAGCAAGCTCATGCTCAGACTGAGCACAGAGGACTGTCTGGTTCCTACTGAAATACACATTTCAAAAAAGTAACCTAAGGATGCTGTTACCACTTCCTTTTTACTCTAGAAAAATCCTGTAGCAGAATACATATTATGGAAACACAGAGAGGATGCGGCCCTGGGAAAATGTCCCCCTCCTCCACCACCCTTCATCCGAGTGGCTTCTGAAGTGATCGGGGCCTCCGAGCAGTTCCACAGCCTGTAAGGCCTGACTGTAAAGCCACACAGTGTCTTAATTACTCACAAAGGCACTGTCCATTCTGCAAGCTCTGTGGCAAATGTATCAATAGAACTCTCAAGTCTGACTTCTGCAGTCTAATTCAAAGCGTATTCAAACAACAAAAACTAATTTATTATCTGTATTAGGCCATGGTTTAAACAAAGGGTGGGAGGAAAATACTCTCTCTACACCAAAACCAAACCAAATGAAACTTGAGAAATATTGGGTTGTCAGGAAAGTCATGATGCATTTTTGGATCGAAAAACATGTTGTTCCTTTGCCAATGACCTAACATAACCCAAAATAAAATGCTTCTATTTCAAAGAGTAATTGGTTGCACTGGAAGAGTCATGCTGCACTTTCCACATTAATGGAGATTTGGACTCAGTAACTCTCGGATGTCACCTGCTCCTGCCTTCCTAGCATCTTTGGACAAACAGTCAAATAATCTCCTAATTGCTCTTGAAGCTTGGTTAGGGGAGAGTGGGTAGAGTGGGGTGAGTGGTGTCGAGAAGCTCTTAACAGTGTCAACAGACATTTCACTGAACCTGCAATCATTTGAGTCAAGCTGCTGTCCTCAATGTGCTACCTATTCTTTGCTTTGGCATTACTGAGCCTTTTCCAAATGCCCAATGACCACAGTCCAGGGCCCTGCCAATGCCAGGAAGCATGCGTTGCACCTGTGGGCGTTCCAGGCACCACTGCTTCTGCCCAGTGAATCAGGCGGCCCTTGCTGGCCCTGGCCAGTAGTCAATGGCTGTCGTTAATCCAGTGGGATTTTAAGGCTGTGCACGTCGGGCCTGCTTCATCAGATACATTAGGGAAATAAGAACATGTCTGTGTGACTATGCTGAATGTCTCAGTTGCTCAACCCGTTTATTAGGCTTGTTTTCTGGTCCAAACTTGCTGACCTGTAATGGGTGCAAAGTTTGTGTAGAAGGGAGTGTCAGTCTCACTCTGACGCTTACTGATCATGACAAAGTTACCAGACTCCTGGGGGCCAGGGCAGGAGCTCCATGTTTGCTTTAGACTGTTTATTTCTAGAGGTTAAAATCAGCCCCTCAGCTGTCCTTGTAGGCCCTCCAAAGTCTTGTCCCAGACTGGTCTCTCACAGAGACAGGTTCACCCACCCCCCCAC